GCGCTGTTACGCAAAAACCGCGATAGAGTGAAGCCGCGGAAGTCGAAGCGCGAAGTGGTGAGGGTTCACTGTACATGTCCAAAGAATGTGATGTACCCAATACAGGCACATTAGGTAAAGAGTGTTGTACTGCTTTTGTGTCACGCTGCTCCGTGAGCACTGGGGCGTGGAGCTCCTGATGTGGGCCTTTTGAGCTCACGGGCCACAGGTATCCCATGTAGCAGGTGTGCCTGTTGGTCCCTCCACGTCCCCTGCAAGCCTTGCGGTCAGCAGGCTTGAGGGAGCCCCAAAAGGCAGGGCTCATGCCATGCCCACTGCTTCTCTGCCACCGAGAACCTCTGATGGGCCACGCCACGGTGACTCCTGGCCTGGCTTGGCCACAGTCTCTTCCCAAAGAGAAGCCTGGTTACCACGGTGCTTCATCCCTGTCCCAGGACCAGCCGTCTGCCTTTCTGTTGCCCTATCAGCAGGGCTGCGCTGCGGTCCTGAGAGTCTGACCCAGAAGAGACGCCCCGCAGTGGGGTTGCTGCGTTTGAAGCACGAGTGCTTTTAAAATGGCAGTCACAGCCAGAGCCCCGACTACTTCCTTCAAAAGCTGCAGCAGCACCTAAGCCCTCATGGGCGGTGGCAGCGATGCCACCCTGCATCCCGGGAGCCTGGCTCCAGATGGTAGCCACGCTTTTAAAATGTTCTGCCAGCCCAGTGTCAGGGTGGACCACGTGAGGACACGGGAGCCCTTCCGTTTGCTTAGTGGCCCCTTTGAGTTTTCTCTCGCGTTGTGTCTTCGTGTCTTTAGCCTTGCCGGGTCGTGGCCAGGCTCACCTCAAGCTCCTTTTAACGTAAAAGGAGAAAAAGGAAGTCTCTTTCTTCGCTTGCCGTCCAGAGGACCTGTGGCTGTGTTTGTTCGTGCACTGTCTTCCTTCCCGAAGGGGTCCACTGAGCTTGCCCGAGACACCTGCCCTCCCCTCCCTCCCCGTCTCAGGGGCAGACCAGGCCTCACGTAGCAGAGGGACTATCCCCCCAGGGCTGGCCCTGGGCTGTGCCCCACATGACCTCATGCGACCACTTAACTTCCCTAGGCCTCTGTTTTCACATCTCTAGAATGAGGAGCCTCGGTAGAGCGATGGGTTCAGCAGCTACTCCTTGGGAGAAAGAGGGACCCTTCCTTTTCTGCAAAGAGTTACACACTCTCAGAAACCCCTGGGGCAGTCTGCCCAGCCCGACAGGTTTGCAGTGAGTGGGACCCCCTGGATAGCAATGAGGTTTCTGGCCTTTGGCTTTCACAGGAGGGAATGGGCCCCTCACTCCCACCCCGACTCTGTGCATTCTTCTTGGAGAGACCAGCACCTTTTTCTGCTGGAAGCCGGGCCCTCCTGCCATCAGTCACCAAGGACCTGGCCTGAGTGCCAGCTCCTGGCCTCCTGACCATGCCCCTCCTCCGCCCCGCCCACAGTATGAAAATGAGTCGTCCCTGAACCTGTACGAGACCTGTAAAGTGCGGGCAGTCAAGGCAGGCACCCTGGAGAAGCTGGTGGAGCACCTGGTGCCTGCCTTCCAGGGCAGCGACCTCTCCTACGTCACCATCTTCCTGTGTACCTACCGAGCCTTCGCCACCACCCAGCAGGTCCTGGACCTGCTGTTCAAAAGGTGAGCACCCTGGCCCTGGTCTCAGGAATGCCACTCCATCTCTGTCGGCTCATCCAAGAGTAGGTTAGAGAGGCCACCTCCTCAGCCTATGGGAAGAGCTTACTGAAAGGAGGCTGCTGGGGTGTCTGGGGGCGGGGGGCAGCGGTAGGCCCGTCTCTGACTGCCCTATTCCTTACAAAGTTCTCTGCCTCACCGTCAATACCACCCCCACCCCCCAATGGCCTTGACCAAGCCTGTGTTCCCATATGTAAATGTGGCTCAAGATTCTGTCTAGTGGGTCCCTGCCCTGGGTACAGCCAGAGCAGAGATCTCTGGGGGCTGGCAAAGAGACCCCGGGCCCACTCTATTAGTGGGTGAGGTGCTGGCTGGTTTCGTCGCTCAGCAAACACATACTGAGCAGACCAGAGGCCCTGCCCTCGTGGGTTTGCAGCCTCGTTCTGGTGTCAGACGGTAACAGCAGGCATCGTAAGCAGGTACGGTAGATGTGACGCCCCCACGGCCTCCTCTAGATACGGATGCATCCTCCCATATTCTGACGAGGACGGCGGACCAGAGGAGCAACTCAAAAAGTGAGTGGACCGTGGGGCTACCCAGAAGAGGGAGGGGCTGTGGAGGGGCGGGCAGGCTGGGCAGAGCCCAGGGTCCCACACAGCGGAGGATTCCCCCTAGAGGAATGAATTCTGGGGCTTCCCCCCTGCAGGAGGAAAGGTCCCAGGAAACTGGGGGTGGGTGAACCCATCATCCCCCTCCCCGCCCCCCATGCCCCTCCCCATGCTGCTGGTGCCCCTTGCTAATCCCAGGCCCCAGAATAGGAGGCTCAAGGAGCAGGAATCTGAATTGTGGGACTCAGTTGCCTGGCAGGGGTGTGGCTGGGCTCCACCTTCGGGGAGGGGAGTGTCTGAGGGAAGACGAGGCCCACAGAAGCGCGCAGTCTGAGACTGTGGTGGGCCCACAAGCCAGAGGCCTGGCACTCGAGGCAAGGACAGAGCCTGGGGGATATGCCCAGAGCACGCACCAGCACCCTGCAGGGACCAGCTCCGACATGCACCGTCACCAAGTTGATTCCGACTCATAGTGATCCTGTAGGACAGGGTCCGAGACTGTAGCTCTTTACAGGAATAGAGAGCCCCGACTTTTCCCCAAGGAGCGGCTGGTGGTTCCGAACTGCCGACCTGGTCAATAGCCCAGTGCATCACCACTGTGCCACCAGGCCTCCTCCACGCAGCGAACCAGCAGACACAATCTTTGACCCCCTTGGAGTTGCTGTCTAGCAGGAGGGGTTCAGGAGAGAGAGACAGGGGAGTATGGATCAGTCAGACTTGATCAAGAACTTCTTGGAGTTGAGAGTCCTGCTAGCGCCCAGACCTGACCGGTGACCGGCATTGCCAGGACAGCCCGAGGGCTGGGAACCAGCATGGGCTAGCCTCTCTGAGTCAGGGACAGATAGGCCCCGGGCCCAGCCCTCTGAGTGCGCTACCCGCTCGTCTACCTGCAGTGCCATCTCCTCCATCCTGGGCACCTGGCTGGACCAGTACTCGGAGGACTTCTGTCAGCCCCCCGATTTCCCGTGCCTCAAGCAACTGGTGGCCTATGTGCAGCTCAACATGCCCGGCTCGGACCTGGAGCGCCGGGCTGATCTCCTCCTGACCCAGCTGGAACACTCGGAGCCCACTGAGGCAGAGCCAGAGGGTGAGGAGGGTTCAGGGTGGGCGTGTGTCCCCATGGGAGCTGGGCCACACAGGAAGCTGCTCAGACCTCTCATCCAGGGGACGGCAGCCTGGGCAGCTTCATCATGGCAGTGGACTTCTCTGACGGCAGTGGGGTGTTTGGTGTCTGCCTTTGGCAAGGAGGCAGGAAAGGCGGTCATCCCGGGAACATTTCTTCTCGAGCACTTCAGTTGCCCACCTCTCTGTCCTGCTGCTGCTGCATCTCCCACAGCCGTCTCTGCTTCTCAGCTGGCCTCTACACCTCACTGCAGGGGCCACGGAGGACTTACAGACCATGCGTATTGATTGTATTAGTCTGGGTACTTTAGAGAAACAAATCCACAGAAACTCATATGCATAAGAGTGTTTTATATAAAGGGGACGTGCACATCAAGAAAACATTCCAACCCAGTGCTGCCCAAGCCCACAAGTCCAACATTAACCCATATGTCCCACACCAATCCACAAAGTCCTCCTCCATCTCACAAAACATCGATTGCAGGAGGAAAGCCGAATCAGTGAAGGTGTAAGCATCTCGGTGCTGGCAGGGATCTCCACACGGCTGCTCCAGCACCCAGGGCTGCATCGGGGTAGGTCCATGTGGCTTCTCCCCAGGGATGTCTTGCAGAAAGGCAGCTGCACCTTGGTCCGACCATCACAAAGCAAGAGAGCGAGAACTTGAAAGGCTAGGCTCACTGAACCATTTCTCTCTCTGCCCTTCAATTAACCCCACATGTGTTTATCGGCCAGGTTGGCACAATAAACTACCTCATTGATTGTTTTTATTAGGGAAGCTAGCAGGTGATGGCTCAGGCAAAAAACACTTAAGATACAGTTCTATTAGGAGAGGCTCTACCAATAAGTGCTCAGAAGGCATACCACTCTGCCGTGAGCCTGAACCCAAAGGTACCCCAGCTCCATGAGTCAGCAAGCCCAGCTCCCCCCGTTGAGGGCCCGGAGCGACTCCACTCCATAAGCCAGCCTCCTGCCCCAAAGCCTTCAGCTGCACTTGCTCTGTTGGCCGGGAAGTCCACTGCCCTCTGCTCTGGCTCCTGGTTCCGCTGCTGCCCCTGTCGGCAAAGCTGTCTTCACAATGGATCCTGTTCACAGGCACTCACAAACGTATCCGATCAGTGTCTTCCCCCACCTTCACCAATCCGGACCCGCCGGGAAACGGTCATTGCATGGGAGCCAGAGAGCCTAGAAGAGCCTCATGGAATAACTCCCCGCCCTGTGTGCTTCTCACCCAGCCCCCGCTCCCGCTCCCACACCAGCTCTACCTCCAGCTCCAAGGCTAGCGCCAGCTCCGGAGCCAGCCTCCGCACCAGCTCCAGAAACGCAGCCAGCTGCAGCTCCAGCATCGGAGCCGGAGCCAGTTCTCGAGCTGGAGCCTGCTCCCGCCCTCCCTCCTGCACCAGCTCCAGAGGCAGCTACACCTCTGCTACCAGCTCCTGCTCCACCCCCAACTCCAGAGCTAGAACCAGCGCCAGCTCCAGCACCGGAGCCTGCCTGCTCCTCCCCCGGGATGACGGAGAACGGGCTGAGTGAGGAGAAGCCAAACCTACTGGCCTTCCCTCCAGAGCTGGTGGCAGAGCAGTTCACACTGATGGATGCGGTGAGCGGCTGGGGCTGCCCCGGGAATGCCATTCCCTGAGCTCGGGAGTCCAGATTCCCCCCTCCTCCACTTACCGGTTGTGTGACCTGGGTGGGTCTGGTTCCCACCTCTGGGCGCGTGAGGCAGCATCAAGAGGAGGCTGGGTGGGCCCTTGGCTCACCCTCCCACCCCTGGCCAGGCCTCACCAGGCTCTGCGTGTCTAGCCACCTGATGGCTTAGAGACCCTTTGGCTCACACTCAAGCAAGGCCCCTAGTTATGGTCCCACGGGGAGTGGGGGCAGACTGGTGGAGGTGTTGGCCATGGCCCTGGACCAGTAGGAAGAGGAGCTGAGTGAAACTCCCTCTCCTCCCTCCATCACTGGAGCCTGGGCGCCCTCAGTGGGCAGAGAGCAAAACCCAGAGATCCCAGCAAGGCTCAGCTTACTGAGCCCCCCTCCACCCCCCACTCCAGGCACTGGCAGGACTGGGGCCAGCAGGCCCAGTGACATTCCCGTCCGTCCTCCCTAGGAGCTATTCAAGAAGGTGGTGCCCTATCACTGCCTGGGCTCCATCTGGTCCCAGAGGGACAAGAAGGGCAAGGAGCACCTGGCACCCACCATCCGGGCCACCGTCACCCAGTTCAACAGCGTGGCCAACTGCGTCATCACCACCTGCCTGGGGGACCGCAACATGAAGGCTCCAGACCGGGCCAGGGTGGTGGAGCACTGGATCGAGGTGGCCAGGGTATGCCGCGAGGGGCCCGCCCAGTGTGGGCCAGCCCCTGGGCTTGGACCTGCTGCAGGGTCAGCCAGGCCCTGCTGCCACAGCCCTGCCGGGGGCTCCAACCAAACCTCCAGCCGCCTGGTCAGCAGATGATCCCAAACTGCGTGCCCCATTCAGGCTGCAGATTCCGGCCCCACTGCTGCTCTGAGGTGCCATCCAGGCCGCCCGGGCTCACGGTGACCCTGTGTACAGTCCCAGTGAATGCTGTCCTTCCAGGACCAAACTCGCCATCGAGTCGATTCCGACTCACAGGGACCCTGCAGGAGAGAGTAGAACAATCCCTATGGGTTTCCAAGACTCACTTTTTATGGGAG